ATTTATTTATCTGTATTGTCAATAGTTTGAGTTGCTAGGTGGTAACCAATTATTATTGTAAATGTAAGGTATTTATGGATTAAGAATATTTTGCAACATAATGTTGTAGATCTTTGCTCAAGACAGAAGAGTATTTGTAGTTACTTTAGATATATGGAGTCATAGCCACATGCATGGATTTTCTTGCTGGTTCCTTGTTAGGATGTTGCCTCTGCCGTTAATGAGGAATTGAAGAAATCTAAAATATTTTTTATTTACCTGTAGAATGTAATTTAGGATTTTTATTTCTTTCAGAAGTACTTCAGTTATTACTAGTGCACTGATTACAATGATTCATTGTACGATAGATCATATTTTTGGTGTACGAAAGCCTGTAACCACATTTGTCTATCAGTATTGATACAGTGCTCAGTATGATGGCATCAGTGTGACGTGGCTATAATTAGGTGGTCAGAGTAAGGCTTCAGACATCTCTGTGAGCATTTAGAGGTATAAGTATGGCAGAGAGCAATTTAAATATACTGCTATTTTGTCTTAGTTGCAGCACATTATTGCATGCATATTTATATGGTACTTCCTTAACAGAAGATCAAGGTTTTTTGTGAACCACCATCACAAGTTAGTTTTTGGGTGGAGGACAGTAGCTGCCTAACATAACATATTAGAGTTTTTGTGCTTGGCTGCCGCTGTTCTTGATCAATCCTAGTTAAATTTTTTTTTTTTTTTTTTTTTTTACTGTGTCCCTCTGGTGAGGATAACAGTAAGAAATAGGTAGGCACATGCCTCTGCCAAAATAAATATTCTCCACAACCCTTAAAAAGTGCTTGGGTAAAGTAATGACCTAAGTTGCAATCTTTCCAAGAGGAAGAACTGCAGGCTTTTTGATCTAAGCTGGGTAAATAATAAAGAATAGACTAAAGACTTAAAAACTAGAATAAAATATGTATTTCTAAGGATTTTTTGAGAGACGGTCTAAAACCACCCTTCCAGCTGTAGATGATGGTGTAGCTGATAGAAGAAAAAACAGGTGTGACAGAGGTGTGTCCAGTTGGGAATAACACTTAGTATGGAGTGTGAAGGTGACAGTGGCCAGAAGAGGACACAGAGACCTGTGCACCCTTCCCAAAGGGAGGTCAAAAAGACATCCCCTAGCCAGAAAGTTGCTAGCAGGGAGGAATCCCACCAAAAGCTTAAACCATGCATTCAGTCCCATAAGGAAACACAGGTCCTAGGGAGAGTCAGGTGCTGGCTGAGAACTGGGACATCAGGAGATAAGATGTTATGTTGGTTTGGGATACTTGCATAGCCTTGGACTCATCTTGGATCCTCTTTTCCTCATCTTTTGGAGATTAAACCCAGCTTTTCCTTGCAGAGAGCTCTGAGGAAGATGTGATCGTTTCTTAACACCATTAAATGATTATCAGAGAAGCAGTAAATTCATCAGCAAAACCGAGGAAAGGATTGAGCAAGAGTGAGGGTAGTAACTAAATTTAACTTGAACTTGGCTATTAAAGGACAGTTTTCAGTATCAGGCTGGCTAGGTTAGGGTGCTGCAGAGATGAAGTGAAACCATTCTCCCTGCTGAGGAAGCAGCAAGACATGAAGCTGAGAGACATGGGGTGGTAGTAGAAGATCTGTCCCCAAGGGCCTCTAACTTCTGCTGCTTACATCTCAGCTGGTTCATTATAATTCAGCTGTTGGTGTGTGTTTGAATTTACAAAGACTTGGAAATAAAGGATCCAAAACTGCTTAGTCTCAAGTGTAGATGGCGCTGACACAAATATATCCATCCAGAAGTTGGGAGATAGCATTTGGACACTTGAATGTGGGATCAGAGAAAAGAATTCTTCATGGATGATGTAGCAGATAGTCTTGTAATTGATTTAGATTTCATTGCACCTAATAACAGTACAAGCAACATCAGGGTTTATAACTTCAGTTTGCAGAAAATCACCGTAGCAATGGTGGAATAAATGGTTTGTGAACAATCGATGTGTAACAAACATGTTATTCTCCCCTTTGTGTGCAAATACTGTTGAACAGCTGTGTGCAGTTTCAACTTTCCAGCAGAGAAAGCTGGAAAAGACTAGGACAGTCTTAAGGCATTGACTCACATGTGATGCTGACTAAATGCAGATGGCTTAAGTGGTTCCTGTCTTCAGTTTTATGCTTTGCCTCTCTCTCGAAGGCTGTTGTTGCTGCAACGGTGCAGGCTGAGTGATATATGAAATATGTGTGTTTACATTTATGAGCTGAACTATAAAAACGTGTTTGGGGGCAGGGTCACATAAACCAGCACTTGTAGCTGCTAAAATTCTTGTGGCTGGGAAGTATGAGCAGAGCATTCCTTGTTTGCTGGATGTGGCTGAGGAGTGGTAAGTAGTAAAATAACTGTGATTCAAAATGGGCAGAGAAAAAATCCAAAGTTTTATTTATTTGGCCTTTCTGTCTTGAAAACCTGGTAAATTGGATCAGATAGAAAGAAGCACTCCAGTAATTGCAAGAGTGTGGTTTATCGTGGCTAAAAATGGCAGGGATTCTCATGACTGGTCCTGTCCTTTGCCTACCTTTGAAAACTTCCATCTTAGGCATGCCAATGATGACGATTTTGGGGCATTATTGACAAAATTATATGGAGCAAAGGTTAGTTTTTCAGGGCAGCAATCTGAGTCATTGGGGAGGGGGGGGAAAAAGCATCAATACAGAAGAGCTATAAGAAGTTAAAATCATAGACTATTTGGAGTAACTTTGGGATTAGCACTGGGTCTAGACTCTGACATCTTGACACCAAGTTGGCAAGTGCTTGCAACAACTGCTGTAGTGATTTTGCAATTCTGCAGAGGTCTAGACGGGAGTGTGTTATTCCCTGTTGCCACACACACAGAACAGCATTGTTGGAGGGCTGATTGCAAACACCAGGGATCGGCTTCTCCAGCATATCAGGAACCTGTGATCATTTTGTCCCCATATGTTGCAGAAGTGCAAATATTAGTGGTTCATCCACAGCTGAATAAAGGAGTGGGGACAGTCAGTGTAGTCTTGCAGGAGTGGATTACAGAGCAGCTGAGTCCTTCTCAGAGAGTGTTTTTTCATACTGGGATATTAGGTAATTGGAAAATCATTTGGCAGGATCGGTCTCCAGAAAATCTAACATCTCCATGTCATCCCTAAGGAAGGGCCTTATGAACCTGGAGGAATTTGGCATTCTGAGTGAAATACTCCTCTCCAGGCAAGAGAACCTGATGGGTGGTGGATTTGGGTATTAGCTGATTATAGCAGATATCCAAGACCTTTCCAGTGCACAATGATGTGCTCTTTGCAAAAGCCTTGGCTGAAGGAAAGGAGAGTTTCTCTGGATATAATCAGAATGCAGCAGGAACCATCATCAGTGTTTCGGTTCCAGGCACTGGTGTGTTGAAAAAGACAGTTATGAGGTCAAAGTTGTTGGGTGGCATGGGAGAGTGTTGATCAGCATCTGCGTGGGTCCTTGCATCAGCCAGAAAGCAGCTGTAAACTGTTTCATGGAGAAGTTTGAGGTTTGCTCACTAAAATATCAAGAGGCTTTGACTGTAGCATAGTTTCCAGTTAATGAGTCTTCCATCCGATGGATGAAATGGGATTCTGAAAAGAGGACTGCAACCAGCATGTCCTATTCCTCTTGGTGACTGACTGATCAACAGTTGATGGAAAACATCAGGTAGCTGAAAGCTTCTCATATTGGGCTTTAAATAAAGACTCAACCTGATCAGTTAAATAGAACCCTTGGCAAAGCACAGATGAAATTCTAGAAACTCCACAATGCAGAATAGAGGAAGGAAAAGTGTTCTTTTGTAAGAACAGATTTAACTTGATCTTTAGTAAATGAGAAGATGGTCTTGGATGATCAGTCATATGTTTGAAAGCAAATGTTTACAGGAAGCTGTCTGCTTTGATTCTACTGTCCCACAAGGATGGAAAGCCTAAGTCTGCTAAACCTCATGGGTTTAGTAGTTTCATTTTGGCACATTGACTCTTCAAAAATTGTACATTGTCAGGAAGAGAGTTACTTTTGGGGAAAAAAAACCCTGGTAGTATATACATTTTTACAGAGAAAATCCTGCCTTGTCTAAAAAACCCTTGACTCCTTGAGCAGTGGGCCAATGAAGCCTGGTTTCTGGCAGCATCCATTCTTCTCCAGATTCTCTCCCCTGGAAAGCTGGCTGCCCTCCTCTCCCTTATTACCCATTGCCCGTGCCCTCTCCTCTGACGCAGGGCTCGTTCCCAGCAAGACCGATCTAAGGCAGCGCCAGGTCCCTCCCTTCCCACTGTGCTGTCCTGCTGGCTCAGGCACCCAATCACACCTGCAAAAAAAATTTTTTTTTTTTCTTCCCCCTGCATTGTTTTTTTCTGATAATTCATTAATTATTTTAAATAACTGGTTTATAATCTGACCAGGAAGAATTTAGGATCAGTCTGTTGGAGAGGGTACAGGAAGGTTAATAGCATTAAGCAGAAGCAACAAAGAAAAAATCACATCCCTTAGCTCCAGTCCGTAGTTCTTCCTCACCCTACAGAGAGTACTGTATGTTATTAATGTTACTAGTAATCTTACCTGGTTTTGCATTGTCTTCATCCACGAAAAAAAAACCCTTAAGTACAGACTTATCTCTAGGGATATGAATAGCTAAATTTCTGGAAAAAAAAGGAAGAGAGTCAAACTTACGGAGGGTCACAATACTCCTGCCAATTTTATATGAAGATGGGTTCTCTTTTCCCCCTGCTTTTCCTATTTACACTGAGATGGTTTGCTTAAAGTAGCCGCTTGATATACTCAGGTTGCCAGAGGACAGAAGCTTTGAGAACTCTGCTTGGCGTCTTGCTTTCATTACTGTGCTGTGCTGGCTTAGGGTGTGGGCTGGTATTAAAAAAACAAAACAAAACAACAACAACAAAAAAACCCACTAAAAAACCCCTTAAGTATTTGCTGATGTGTTTCCTGCCTCCCATTCACTGTGTTTCAGAAAATCTTCAGAAGAACTGGACATGGATAAAGTAACAGCAGCCATGGTACTCACCAGTTTATCCACCAGCCCTTTGGTCCGCAGCCCTCCTGTCCGACCCAACGGTAAGCCTTCAGAGCAGCGCCTGGGCAGGGGCTGCAGGGAGGGGTGCCAGGGCCCTGTACGTGGGGGCTTGTTGCCACCAGTTGTGGCCACGGTGGAGGACAAAGGTGAGTGGCTGTCTTCTGGCAGTGACCCAGGCCTGCTGGGGGGTCAGCTTTGCTCCAACCTAGTCATGGTCTTTGGTGCAGCATTGGCAGAAATGAGTAGAAACCTCTTCTGTAACCGGAGAGTGGCTCCAGTTTATGAAACGGGAGATGCCCCATTTCATAAATGGAAGATGAGCTCTGCGGAAGGTCTCCAGACCTCACTGAAACACTAATTTTTCAAGCAGCTTATTTGCTTTTGCACATATGCAGTAAACATGACAGCAGTTGTTCTTGTCTGCAACCCATGGAAATCAGATCAGATTTTACTCAACACTGCCATGAGGCAAAGTAATTCCAGATCAGAGCCCTCGGCTGAGGGGCCATGCGCTGAAGGTCTGCACGGCCGCAGGTCTGTTTCTGCTGATGAAGGATTAGACCCTCAATTCCTGTGCCCTTTGTAACTCTCTGATGGTCTACTATCAAATCCATAATCCCTTAAAAGACTACTACATTCATGGTATAGCAGAAGACACACAAATAAAAATAAATCTAAAAAGTTAGTGGTAATAATGAGATTGGTAATGAAATACAGGTGATCAATGAAACTTAACTGAAGTTATGAGGAATTTTTAAAAGTGTTATATTTTAGGGAATAGCTTAAATTAGGACATCCTTGTTAGGATGTCTCAGCATTGTTTGTATGACTCTGGGTTTTCTTACTCACTTGTAATTTTTAAACAGACACTAGATGCCCTCCTGCTGTAAAAAATTGGAGGACTTTGAGGAATACTTACAGATGCAAATTAATAGGGAAGTAGTCTTTGCATTTCTTCACGGAAGCAGGAGTGATCCACTAAATGGTATTAAAAGGATTCATACCAAATGTCCCAGCTTTAAACATTTTTGAACAAATAGTGTGGGGTTTTTTCTATTTCCTCCCGGAAAATACAGTTTTCATCTGTTTATCTGGAATTCTAGCCATGACCATCCATGGCTCCTGCTTGGGTACTTTTCAGTGTTGAAAACCAGAAGTATTTATGGAGCACCATCGCTCTGAGGAGCCCTGGAAAACCTCCCGCAGTGGCATCGCCAGTGACTGTCCTGCCTCAGGGCTGGAGGCTGCCAGCCCCCAGGGAAGGCCAATGGAAGGATAAAAACATACCTGCTCTCCAGCTGCTCAGCTCGTAGCCAAAACCACAGATGAAGGTGGATTTGTGCTGATGTGCCAGGCAGGGATTTGGAGTGGCCGAGGCACACACATGTCCCACATTGCATCCCTGGTCACGGGGAGCTGCTCTGCTGTGGGGCAACCAGTATCTGCCACCTTAGACACTTTGAGCAGGTGACATTTGTCAGGAGCAGCAGTGCACATTCACTGGTAGCTGTCGTCTGGAAAGATCTTCCAAACAAGCCCTTTTGAATTGCTAATAGGTAAATGGTAGCTGTTAACTGCCTTTGATACTTCTTCATGCAGTCTGAGTGCTCTTTGATATTTCTTCACATAGCTTGTCTGCTTGCTTCCCAAAATCTGGGAAGACTAGCCTGAAAAAAGTAACTCACTGTGTTTTCAGTAGTTACAGACAAGATTTTGAAGTTGTTGTTGGGCTCCTTCTCCCTGAATACCTTAGTTTTGCCTGAGTGAAGACTTACTAAAGACTTAAATAACAGTGTAACAGTTTGATAATTTAAAACTCATTTGGTGTTGCAAGGCTAGGCTCTGATCTTAGTAATGCAGCAGCAAATGTACTAATGATCAATTCCTTCTACATCCTTTTCCAAAAAAGGGCAGTAAGTAGCAGTGTAATTAAAGGAACATATGTTTAAACAAATGGAATTTTGCCTAGAAGTTAAAAAAATAACATTAGCGTTAATATTAAAGTCTGATCTGTGCTGGAATTACTGGGGATCATCACCCATGTAAACGGGATCAGAGTTCGGCCCTGGTTTCCCTGCAGCTGAGTAATATTTGGTCTGGTTCTTTTTCACGCAACTCTAGCAGTGTGAAAAGAGCCCCAAATAAGAGTAAGTTGCATTTATTTATGTTTTAAACTTATTACATTGGCAGATTTGTTAGTGAGAACCAGTGTTTGTTTTTTTCCTGTTGTCAACCTCATTCAGTCTTTTCCATTCTACTTTAAAAATGTTCTTGATTTACATCTCTTTCTCAGCAAGGTGAGAAGCTGTAAACCCTGAGAGTACAAAGTACCATCATAAATGTGTCAGAAAGGAGTAGTTGAAAGAGTGCTGTTTCCTTTGTTTTTTTAAGAAATGGAAATTTTAATCTATGCTAAGGTCACAAGTTGATACCAGCTGTACTTCTTGGCTTTGGCACAAGACTCAAGTACAAATACTTGAAAAACACAAAACCCACCTCCATTACAGTCACATGAAGGCTGTAATCATGTACCAAAACATGACATTTTCATATATTAACTTATTAGCTACCAGCAATGTATATGTCTTTTCCAAAGAGGAATTGGGGGTGGGGGGGGAAGGAGGGTTGATCCCATTTGTGCTCTGTGGCCCTGATCAGTTAGTGCGGGGATTTGTGTGCTGCCCACACAAGGGGATCTTTTTCTGCATGTGCTTACATGATGGAGCACTGCATTCTGTTTTGTGAGCAGCTGATGTTAACAATTAAGGGTTTCGTCCAAAACCAACTGAATCGGGAGAAAAAAAAATAAAAATTCATTGGCTTAAGGTTAAGCTTTTGGTAGGAGGTGGTAGGCATTATTTTCTTGCTGATGTCATTAGTTAAATTTATTTGTAAGAAACTGAGAAGGAATGAAGGAGTGACTTCTGCAGAACTCTTAAAGGCAGGTGCTGGCTTGAAAAGACTCCTGTCTCACACTTAAATAATGTTTCATGAACAGATAAGATGTTTTTCACGCCAGCTCCAAAGTCGGGCATTGCACAGTACTCGAGCACCTCCGGTGTCGTTGGGAAAAGCTTCCAATGCCTGAGTTAGGGAGAAACGGCACCAAAGCCATCCCCGCACAGGTGCCTGAGCCGTGTGAGAACCTGAGGCCTTGGGCAGAGCTGCCTGTGGTTGCACCGCTGGACACGCTCGGCCATACCTTTGCTGGGTGGCTGACCTCCATACTCCTCCCCTGCCAAAAGCCCTTTAGGGATTGGGAAGAGTGGGGTGCCAGTGTCTAACGCCCGCGGACCTCAGCACATGAAGTGCGGCTCAAGCCGTGCCCCAGACTGCAAAAGCAGTGCTGTTCCTCCCACCCACCGTGTTGCGGAGTAGCCTGTTAGTTTGAGTGTCTGCTTACCACCTCACGTCGGGGGAGCTGCTGCAGTGCCAGTAGGTGTGGAGGTGATCCAGCATCCTTGCATCCCACTTCTGAAACCAGATTCCCAACGATACACCTGTATGAAGAAAAAGGGATATCCTTCCGAGGATATGCACCACCTCCTTTAGAGATTCAAATTAGGCAGAGGCATGTGCATGTGGCCTGAGAGATTATGAAAATGCAGAGTATAATTATGGTTTTCTTTGGTGTTTTAGTACTGGGATGACAATCATGTTTTTGAAGATCTACTTAGTCTCCTGGGGCTCGGAGAGTATGTCCCCTTCCCAGGGGGTCTTCTGTTGGCCGTGGCTTGGAGCTTGCTTCGTTGCCCCGCCAGTTGTGTGTTCCTGTTGAAAGCTGAGGATGTATCTGAATGTTTTCCCTTAATCGTGCACGCATTATCTAACTGCCTATTGCGGTTTATGTTCCAGAACAGGTTATTTTTCCAAACTTAACTTTTCTTTTTAGAATACTTAGTTTAAAAAAAAAAAAAACAAACCTGAAAAATCAAGTGTGGAATATATAATCTGTGTGCTGTGGGATAGATGTGGTTGTCGTCTCTACATCCAATGCTTTCACTTTCCTTTACAGAATGTACAGTTAATTACCAACATGGCATCTAAGCCTTAGATAAAAGAACTCCTTAGCCCTAACACATGATACTGTTGTAATGATGGCTATCGTTGTTCTTGACAGAATCCCTAAATGGATCTTGGAAAGAAGGAGGATTTGTGCCTTCTAGTACCAGCAGCAGTGGATACTGGAGCTGGAACGCTCCCAGTGACCAGTCCAACCCATCCACCCCATCTCCACCTCTCTCAGCTGATAGCTTCAAAGCTTTTCGGACACCTTCCCAGCCAGATGATGGTATTGATGAAGCTGAAACAAGCAACCTTCTCTTTGATGAACCCATTCCCAGGAAGAGAAAGGTTAGCCTCATGTCAAATTCCATCCCCATGGGCAGATAGGATGTCAGTAGACCTATTTTGCTGTGAGAAAGGAACAGGCCATCCAAAGAGCTCTGTATGTGTATCCCTCCTTGGCATCCAGTTAACGTAGGTACTTAACCTAGTCGCTGTGTCTTGGTCAACCTAGTCACCTGCTGCACACACATGCTGCCATCAGCACCACATATTTGTTGGCAGATGGTGAGGTTCTACAAAGCCTCCTGCTCAGAAAACATTAAAGTAGTTTCCAGAAGGTGTTGCCTCTGGCCATTCAAGGGATTTCTATCCTACTTCGGCAAATCCTTTGTATGCAGGATGCAACAGGCAGCCTTTACATGTCATCACAGAAACTGGATATGGCCTTAATACTTCTTGTTCCCTGAAAATGCTGTTTGTCTGACAGCATGTCAGATACCTTAATACTGTGAAGCTTTCTTGCGCAAACATATGGAGTGAAAAAAGGAGAGAGAGAGATCAAATCCGATGGCTTTTCATACAGTATTAGCAGTGGCCAAATTTATCCTCGGTAGGAGTGCAAAAGCAGACTAAATAAAACACATTGTTAAAAAAAAAAAAAAAAGTCCAAAACTAACCCCAAAAACGCACCATTACGCTAGCAAGCAAGCTCCTCTCGAAGAAAAAGAAAACAAAGAGATGGCACTAGTCCAAATTTCATTCCCTCCCAACGCAACAGGACAGATTTTACATAGCAAGATGAAAAAGGGCTTTTTGTAAGGAGAAAAACCAGAGAATTTATTCTCCTTGGTGACTGTTTCTGGCTCAGTCTGAGACAATTAATTGCTTCATCACCAGCAGGAAGAAGTTTTAATGATTATTTAAACCTGTTCACATTTATCCTTTTGCTCCAGAAGCTGCTTATTTGCTGAACCACACTGTTCTGCCCTTGTTTGTGGGAGACAGGTGTAAATTGTTTGTGCTTCTTTGCTACAAAGGAAAAAAAATTTTGGAGGGCACCTTTGTTGTAATAAACTAGATGTCAGAGCTGACTGTTGAGACAGAGATGATTTGGGGGGTGTGGGACAGGAGGATTGGGAATGCAGAAGTGTACTGGTTTGCCTTTTACTTCTCAGTTCAAGTTCAGCTTATTAGCATCACTTACTGCTCAGTTGTGATGAGACAGATGGGTTTGCAGCTGCCATCTTTATTGTTTTCTAAGTTATCTTCGAATATTTCTATTTATGTACGCACCACAGATCTGTTACACTATCTGGTTCGCAGGGATTTTGCTCTGTATGGCAGATGTTTAATTTAGATAAATAATAACATTACCTGCCAAACTTTGTTTTATAAATGAGCTGCACTTCCGGCGGGGTTTTTTGCTCTGGCCCCAGCATGGTACTGTATCTGAGTACAGCTTTGCACCTTTAGAAGCTGAAATAAAAATGTTCGGGTTATTTCTTCTTCAGGGCTGCAAAAATCAGAAGGAATAAACCTTGAAATAGAGTGATCAGTAACCTTACTTTCACTCATTAAAGTTTCTTCCATTTCATGTTTGGAAAAGTTCACGTTAGCAACCACTTCCCATTAAGAAAGTTGTTTACTTAACAGTTTCCACTAATATAGTTATTCCTTACCAGACTATTTATGTTCCATTATTTTCTTAAATAAAACATTAAGCTTGATTAGGCGATTTTTGGAGTAGTCAGAAATGAAAGCATGTTTTATGTTCTGTATTTCGACTGAGTGCAATTCCGTTAAAATGCGTGGGTTTTTGTTGACTCCTAGCACTGACAATAAAGCCAAAAACAGAGTGGAGCTGGAAGTTGGTTTGACCATTAAACTGAAGATTGATGTTAAACCATTCTCTGTTCATAAAGATGCAAATGGTGTTCATGGTGTCATATCGGAATTCCTACGATGTAAATGATAAGCATGGCCTTCATCTTGCCACTGTGGTTGGCTGTGGGTTTTTGAGCTGATGATAGTATTTAGTATTATATTATGAAAGTAAGAAGTGTATCTATCAGAATTGCTAGGTAGGTTATATTTAATCTTAGGAGAAACGAGCTCTGTATCTATTTGAATGGTAGTTGTATTATCAGATCGAAAAATTACAGAGGGAATTTGTATGCAATTTATTCCAAAATAGAAGTTTTTAATACAGACAGTATGACCAGGTACCTCAAATCTTACAGCCCCTAGCATCCATACTTTCAAACAGGAGATGTTAGACTGCCAAGTAATTATGAGAACATGCTACTACAATGAACTTGTATTTTAAAAAGCCCATCGGTTGAGATTTTTTAAAATTATGTTCTAATCATCGTTTTTCTAGCAAATGCTGAAACTTACCAACTACTGGCATGGTGTTCCAAAGGGTCCAAACTGAAGAAAGCACCAAGTCAAATTTTGTTCAAGGCACAGTAAAGCATGTACTTAACTCTAAGGATGTGCTTGTTCCTTTTTTTTCAATCGAGCTTTATATGAATACACTCATTTAATCTTACATGTAACTAAAATTATAGGATAATAATATAGTATTTTGAAGCCCTCCTCATGTTTTCTTTAATAATGTGTTCTGTAATAGTAAAGAATTATTTCTGAGAAGTACAAATTATTTAGATTTTTTTATATATATATTTAAAATTTATAAAGTAGGTTTCATTTTCAGGTAAAACTAGCTTTTAAAAAAATCTAGAGAGTTCTGCAACATCTGTGTTGTTTTTTATCACATACTGTGCTTTAAATTAAGACTAGTTTTCTCCAGAGTCCTCAAAATAGTGAAGATTGGGCGGGTTAGAGCTTTGTTGGCTGTGCTCTAAATCAATTATTTCAAGCCAATGAAATTACATTAAAGAATCTAACAAGAATATTAAAATGAGATTATACACATACTCTTCTAAAATGTTGAACACAGCCTGATGGTTTCATATTCTCTTGTCCAAGTAAGGGTCACAGCAGCTTCTGAATGAAATAAAAGCAGGTTTTGCCAGCTCATGGGTGAATATTTTCATTGCAGAAGCTAGAGTTTTCTGTCACAATATGTTTTATGTGTTGTAAAATTCACAAGCAGAAATATTCATAAGGGTTTGCTTTTGGAAGATCTTAATTTAAGAAGATGCCTTGCATGAAGTGAGAAGTCCTTATCAGTTGTTCTTTGAAAGGCTCCAGAAAGGTGTAGGAAGTTTTTATGTCATCTGCCTCCTTCAGTGGGGAGACAGACACTGGAACTTGTGTGTGAAAAAGGCCATACCAAAGAGTGGAGAGAGGTGAAGTTTTGTCACAAGCTACTCCTGCAGCTTTTCTCTGGGATTCTGTTGAATTCAATAGGATGACACTGCTGACAGAGACTATTGCATCTTTACAAATTTGGAGTTGGAGGCTCTGAACCTTCACAACGTTTTGTAACTGTATATCTGTTTGGAGTGGTTTGGTTTTCTTTCTGTCTTCCATACAACTAACGTTGCATTACTAAAAATTTTCAGAACTCCATGAAGGTGATGTTCAAATGCCTGTGGAAAAACTGTGGGAAGGTACTGAGCACAGCTGCAGGGATTCAGAAACACATACGGACCATTCACCTTGGGTAAGAAAGCAGTCTCTTCGGAAGTCCAAAGAATTTGGTATAGAAGGAGAGCAGTTGCACTTAGCTGGGGAGATGAACTGGATTGTCCTTGGCTTTTCTGTCGCAGACCCCTAGGTTTCCAAGGAAATTGCAGAGTAGTATGTCAAGGTGAACAAGAACTTACTCCAACAGCGAGGCACTTTCTTTCCTCAACTTCTGTGACCTTTGCTAGAAGGTCAAATACAGCTCTAGGTCACACGGCATTTCTCTAACGGCCTCACAGCTCGGTGGCACTTACTTGGCGTGTGCTATCTGCACGTCACGTCCAGGCTGACGCTGTGAGAAGGACAGCAGCTTTCAGGGTCTTGCATTAGTACTTCCCAGCCTTGTTTCACATCAGATCAGGTGCTTGTGCTAGTTCTAAGTCAAATTAATGCAAAAAAAAACCCAAAACAAAACCCGAAGTAACCTAGAAAAATGGAACTGAGCTGCAACTCCATGTGTATGTTACTTGGACTAGAAGCAAAAGCAAATGCATCTTGTATGACACAAGCTTGTTTCAGCGCTTTAGTTTGCAAATGGAATCTCCACTGCAATTTGCTGAGTGATCTTGCTGTCTCATATACAGTTACAGTGGGGACTCATGGTCTTCACCTGTTAGGTATGTGGAAGTACATCTCTTTTGTGTAAGTCCGTGTTACCCAGTGCTTAAAAATTACAGTGACCATGAGGAAGTAGCCTGGTGTGGAGCTCAGGAGAGTCTTGCAAAGGTCATAGTAATTGCTGTTGCTTCAGGCTCTGAAGAGTGAGGCTATTGGAAACAGAGAAAATCTCTCTCAAAATGCAGTTATAAATGTTGATTTGCCCAGTATACTAGGGGGATGTCATTTTTGGGGCATGGGAGAGGGAGAAGTAAGCAACAGAACTTCCCTGGAATGTGGAGTTTGTAACTGCTGGAGAGAGGAGTTTTGGTGAGCGACTGGCTGCAGTCTGATGGATGGTACTACTGGTAGAGCCTCTCAAACCTGCTAAACCCGTGCTCTCTCAATGAGTTCTATTGAGTAAGGTGGTGAGAGGACCATGGGTAGAGGTACACAGGCAAGCAGGATGAAGAACTGGCTAGGGGCTGGTTTTGGGGTGCATGCCTGGAAAAGGAGAGGCCCAGCATTCAGCCCTGGTATGGACATGCATTCAGGAGGACGCTTAGGGATCTCAGATTTCCCATATGGAAGATTCAGGAGAAAATATGCATGTATGAGCTGTGTGTTACCTCTGTATAGCATGTGAATAATGAATGTACTAAAACAGTGGTTTGTTCTGGACTTCAAGGTAACATGTAGCCTCCTGGGACCTACTGGTTTGGGTGGTCTGCTTTGCTTCTAGCCCTTGTGCTCAAACACACAGCAGATAGTGCCGGGGATGCAGGGACAATTAACCCTTTTACATCTCCTCCTTCAGTAAGTCTGCTTCTGAAGACTAGGACGAGAAAGTCCTGCACTGGCAAGCCAGCTCATATATGTCCTTTCTCTACCTGTGTGTGAGTCCCACGGTGAGACTGTTTTTTAGCAGCTGCTTCTGCTATGCCAAAGAATGTCATGGTGAACCACGGCCATAACTGTATTGGGTTTAATTAAGTAACCTATGATAAAATTACATATTTCTTGCCGTAACTCGTGCAGTGTATCTTGCCTGTGTTTGTTTTATTTACCCGTCCTTCTGGGGCTGCTCCATCATTTCTGAAGTCAAAGTGCGTTTCTTGTTAACTTCGATAGTTAGGAATGAGAAGCTGATATTTAAGCTGAAGCATAGAAGTTAAACATCTACTCCAAGGTCAAAGAATTAGTCAAGAGTAACCCAGAGAGAAAAAAAAAAATTAATTCCTACTTCATTTCCCTTCAGACTGCATGATTTTCTTTTCCTCTCCCCCTTCCCTGCAGCCAGAATGCTGATAAAGCAGGTGGGGTTGAAACCGGGAAAATGAATTTACTGACAGTATGAATATATTTGTTCATGCATCTAGAACTTAAAATTTGTCTTGGGGTTCTTGCTTTCATTTAATCAGTCCTTCATTCTTTGTCTTGATACAGACGTGTAGGAGAGTCTGACTACAGTGATGGAGAGGAGGATTTTTACTATACAGAAATCAGGCTCAACACAGACTCAGTAGCTGATGGCTTAAGCAGTCTTTCCCCAGTGTCTCCATCTTTAGCATCTCCTCCTTCCTTTCCCACCCAAGATGCAATCCGTCCTGAAACTTCCTGTGCCAAAACTGAGACTAAATTGATGACACCTCTGAGCCGCTCAGCTCCTACCAACCTCTACCTCGTACACACGGACCATGCTTACCAGGTAATGCTAGTGTGAGTGAACTCCACTGATTACACTAATGTCATTAATGTATAAAGAAACGTCAGATCACAATGTTTGGGGTTTAAAAAGCCAAGTCTAGTTTTAATGGGCTGAAAAGTTTTCAGGGCAGTCCAAGGGGTTCGTCTCATTTAAATTCAGATGTCCACTTCTGGGCTAGTTGTTTATTTGTGCTCCCAGCATAGCCATTGGATTTTGGGGTGCTATTATCCAGCCACACATAAATGCATACTTCAGGTTGAGAAGAGTTGCTCTGCGTATCCCTACATCAGTTGATTCTCCACTGACCATAAGGAGGGCCCGAGGTGACGTGCTCAGATGTAGTCTCCTGCATTGTGAAAATTCTCATTCAGGCAGCCAAATCCCTCCCAGAGTCTTAATTTCAGCTCTGCTTGTACTGAATGTGTCTGTAGGCAAGCGCCCAAGGGATGCCAGGAACAATTCATTTCTTTTATTTGTACAGTGTGAGATGTCAGTTTGCATATGTGAAGTAGATCAGGAAGAATGAGAAGGCATATTGGTATCCTCCTACTCTTAGAGATAATGCTTTGCAAATGGCAAAAATCCAATCAGATCCAAAAACTGCTGTTACAGAAACTTCCAACTAAGTTCAGACAGAAAGCATTTATTTTAAAAGTGCACTAAATTTTGACATGTTTTGTTTTGGATACCACATGAGAAAAGAAGACTAGAGGCTTTGAAGTAGTGTAGCTCATGACCTGTGTATGCACCGGAGAACTGAACTCTGTTAAATTTATCAGATGCAATAACTTTTGTATACAGCATTATACAGATAAAATCATTTTGTTGTGTGTCTGCAGCAGACCCACTAAAAGGGCAGAGGGAACCACACAGAATTCACGGGCTTGTTTTAGGCTCTCATGCACAGTGGAAAGCATAGGTGGAAACTTGGCATCTCAGGTGGGAGCTGCATCAGGTAGCACACCAACCAGAGGACTGATCAAGCCAGCTAGGAGAAAGACTTGCTTCTTCTCAGTCTAGCTTAAGCTGTGCCCCTCAGAGTGAGGAACCAAGTCTAGGCTACTGAGAAGAGTCTTACTTCATTTGGGATTTGCAGTTGTGACAGTTTTCCCTGCAATTGGAGGCTCACTCAATCCTTTTTTATAAGCAGCCTTTGAGTAAAACACTTGCCTAAGGAAATACTAGTTCATATGTTTAAGCCACTGGAATTGGATTTGAATTGATGTATTCCATGACACGAGACTACAGGTGTCTGAGCCCTGTCCCCTTTTCAAGTTGCTCTGGTTTCCATATTTCATTTCATCAGCGAGAAGTGACACAGGCCACACAGTTCAAGGCTTTCTAGTTGGAAGCTGGAGCCAGGGTCCCTGCTCAAGCATTCAGGTTGTCCTTGCAAAGGAGGCAACTTCTGCAGATCAGGTCAGTGGCAACCTGTGGTGGGGTCCCTCTAGCCCAGCAAGAGCAGCGCTCTCTGAGAGGCAACGTGGAGATTCAACTCTCACCAGCAAGAGGAGGAATTGAGCCCAGCTTTCACTCATAGCATTTAAGCATTCTTGTGACTAATCTGTTGTGTAAAAGGGAATAGAAGGTGACAGCAGCATCTTTAATAACACCATATTTCCTGCAGTTTGCTTGCTGGAGTGAGCCATGTACAAAATTTCAAAACTTTTTTTACTTCTGATATTATCTGTATCAAAACTGAAACCAAGTATTGAATGGGAATGTAGTGATGAAGACAATCTCTCATGTGAATGAGAACATGAAAGTGGAAATTACTTCATTGGGAGTGAAGTGGAAAAATTCATAGCTCAAGGACCTGTGGATTATAACTCACGGATAAGGGAGGCTGAATAGTGTTCATCCAGGATTCCTGTTAAAAAAGGGAAAAAAATGCAGAACCCAAAGCTGGGTCATAAGAATCCTAAACAGATCTGTTAATTGCCATTTCCCTGGATGACTGGAAAATGGCAAATGTAATATCTATAGTAAGAAGGGTGTAAAGAGGAAGTGAGCAGGCAAGTCCTCACTCTCTTGTCTGACCCAGTCCTATGGATGAGGAAAGATTTAGAAGAATAAGTAAAGGATCTGTGGGAAGTACGGCAAATGAGGTGACCTGCAATGGAGGAACTCCAAAGAAAGCTTATGCTAGAACAGTTTGACATCTTCCTTGGACAAGGTAGCTTTGTAACCTGTGAAGAAGCAGTACAGAAGAACAAATCCCTCTGGATTCGAGGGGAGCATTTGATCTTAAAACACATAGGCAGTATTAGGCTTGAGATTAATTCTAGTGTTGGACAGAGAGCTGTTGTAGTGTTGGAGAACAGCAGTGAGCTATTTTGAAAGGGCTACTGAATATTATTAGTGGAGTTGAACAAAAAGCTGGTTTTGGGCCTGCCCTCATTTTGATTAAATCATTTTGGTACTACACAAATACTATAATAAACTCTGCTGATAATGAACTCACGAGATGTCAGTGGTACAGTGATTTATATATCATGCTTACCTGACTGGGTGATCTTAAGAATAATAGGTTTGGGATGCAATTTAGTGGCAGAACCTGCAAAGTCCTGCGTCTTAGGAACTAATGAGATTTTTCTGTTGCAAACTGGGAGAGTTAGAAAATGAGGAGGAAACCTGTGTTCATTAATGAAGCACAGAATGACCATGAGCCAACAACAATAGAGTGTGAAGGATAAAAAGAAAATAAAGTTGTCAGCTTTCTTTGGTAAGAAAGATGTAAGAACTACAATGCTGTTGTACGAGACCCCCTGATAACTTCAGCAGGGATCCCAAGTGGAATTCTGGTCAATCAAGTTCAACGATGATGGGCTCTGATTAGAAGATGTAGAAATAAGGTGATCAGAGTGAAGAGGGAGGCCATGGAGGGCCCCTCCAGCCCAGGGACAGACAGCTTGGGCAAAGCAGGGGCGAGGACAGGGTGGGATTGCTGCCTGGGAAGGGAGTGAGAGGACAAACATGGGAAGGAGAAAGGGCAAGCACGTGCTATTTCAGATATAAGGGCAATGTTGGCACAAATAAGTAATTATAAATTATCCATGAATAAGTTTTGATTGGAAATTAGATGGAGGTCTCTAAACAAAGTGAGATTAGGGTATAGAAACTCCTCAGTTCATTGCAATATTATGTTCGCTTGTGTTATGGAAGAGATTGTCTAAACTGTTAGCCTGAAAAAGGTGACTGTGCTTGATGAGCAAAGATGCACATCTGGGGGGCAAATGAACAAGGTGATTGACTGTCTAAACCTGATCATATCTGAGGTAGATATTTAGGCACTGAGAAAAAAGAATTGAGCACCACTGTATTTTAGGCAACTGCAAATTACACCAATTCTGAAGTTCTCATACTTCATGTTTCATTACAAAACCAGTGCATATACCTGTTAAATTTAGCTACAGAGGAACTACAGGCAGGCTCTTCCTGCATCTAGGATTTCCCTTGTGAGTCTTATTTGAATACCTGAGGCAGCTGCCATGCTGACCCTGGCTTTGAGCTGATACACCGGTGAGGTGCTGAGCGGAGGCCGTGCCGCCTCGCTGCCCACCCAGCTGCCTCCAGCTCTTTCTGGCAGGAGTGCTGTGGGCATTCACTCCTTCCCGTTTGAACACGGTTGTGCTGAAGCACTACTGGTACCACCTGGCGTTGCCAAATTTTCTGCGATGCCTTTCAGCGAGGTTTTCATGTTTTACGGAGCTCAGTGAACGTTTGCTCCGCCTGCCTGTGTGGATTCTCTTGGAGCTGTCAGCAGGCCCGGCAGCCCACAGAGCATCGCCGCCGTAGATGGAGGCAGCCGGTGGTCTCTGTTTCTTTTCCTTGGAGAGACTCCAGGGGATTGCTGCAGCACTTGTTTACGCCGAAGATTATCTTTACTGAGGACTCTCAGGTTGTAGTTTCTCATCACTCCCCTCTGCCCGGCGGCCCAGGGAAGCGCTCGCTTCCCTGAAGTGGTGGGACAACTTCAGCAGCCTCAAACACAAACACTGCTTAAATAAGTGTATTGCGTTATTGTCAGGTGCATGCAACTGAAAGGCAGAAGTAAAACCTCATTTTTAATAACAAGTTATTTATAATTTTAAACCACGGAGCCTTTTTATGTGGTGAGAGCTTGAAATTCAAGAGTCAAAAGGAGCTTATGTTCATGGGGGCTGCTCACACTCCTGCTAGGCAGGGTTACTGCAAAGGTATGAATTTCCTGAGTCTGTAAATGAAATGGGATTCAAAAAGGAGCAGGGAGGAATCCCTGAGGGCTCATAGCCCAGTGAAAAAAACAGGGAAGGCACAAAATGAAAGATGCTCAATGCTCTGAGCTCAGATTATCAAGTATTACACCTCAGGGCAGCACTGGGTATTACAGCCCAGATGGGATGAACAGAAGAGTTCAAGGGGCCCAGGGGTCCTTCCAATATTTGCTTTAGCTTAGTCTTTTAAGAGCTGTTTTTTGAATCCCAAGGATGATTTCCAGCTCCTTGTTTTGAATAGGAAGGACTGTTTTATCTGGGATGATTCTACACAACAATTATCCGATAAACAAGAAATGGCCAACCTTTACTGTTGATCGTTAACCCTACTGTCCAGGAAGCCTCCCTATGCAGTCTTCAGTTGTTTAAACCAGTTGCCATCAGTTTACATGCTGCCTTGTTTATCACTGTGGGACAGGTGATCATTAGTAATATTTTGTGCTGCTAGCTGGCATTATTTTAAAAGTTATTTGTATATGATGTTTGGTTTTGCGTGTTATTTTCTTAGATCTAGCTTTTAAGGATTTTGCTTGGATTCTTGTGAGAGCTATCATCTTTCTCTAACAAGGTTTTAAGAACTGTGATATATAAACATGACCCTTCCTCACTAGCTTATCCATGATTATCCCCCTCATAAGGGTAAAATGCTTGTCACCATGCAGTTTTTTCCCACATAGGAAAGTGTCTCATAGATTTACAGTTTCAAGGAGTGAAAGATCCCTTGAAATGCTTTGGAAGAGGAATGGTTCTTCTTACTGGAATAATATTTTCTTTTCACACAGGCCACTCCTCCGGTGAACATTCCAGGTTCAGCAAAATTCACTCCCAATGGCAGTAGCTTTAGCATCTCTTGGCAGTCGCCTCCAGTTACCTTCACTGGCATTCCAGTAAGTGAATGAGAAAAAACAAGAAAGAATGGGGAAAAAAAAAAAAAAAAAGTTTTTAGAACTTTTTGGTTTGTTTCACAGGGTCTCACAATAGAAGTAAATTTGTCATAACAGGTACCGAAAAGAAACAAATAAAATATATGCCTCAGTTTGCCAGCATGGCTGATTTTAACACTTTTAGCAGTCTATTTAATTTCATACAGTTTGGGGTTTTTTTGCATCAGTGTCTACAAGAGAACTGGATCTATAGTGTATATATTTTTTAAACTATATGCTTACAAAAGAACATTCGGGTAGGTGCAGAGCCTAGCACTATATGCTCCTTTTTGTGCCGCTAAGAGATACCTTACAAAACTAGATGGAAAATCAGGGAGGTGATGTTTATGCTAATAGGCTAATTGGGTTCAAGCAGTAGGGCTGTTACCTAAATTAACTCTGAAGATGAAGCATGTTTGAAAGGCAACGGAAAGAAAGAATAAGATGAAATGCAAAGTCTGATTCTAGGAGGCTGCATGTATGTAGCCCCTATTGATAGCAGAAAACTGGTGTTTTATACAGAAAAATACATACTGCATTTTAATATTAATGCATATTGCAGTTTGATAGCTTTTTAATGAAGATGTATTAGATGTATATATTAGATGTAAACTCAACTCTGACCCTTTCTTCAAAAAAGCTAGTGTACAAGGCCTAATTTCATGAAGAGGACTGCAGAAATGCAATGTTTGCTTAAACATAGACTTCCAGTAGTCCTAAATGTGATGCAATATAGGTGTGAATACTGTAGGGGGAGTTAAAAACCTTTATGAAGAGTTCAAAGGTATTAGGCTTCTAGTGCGTAGCATGGTGAATACTGAAATTATATGTATATCTCTATTTATGAGTAGTGGAAAATCTTCTGAATAATAAACAGAAATAAATATTAATGTAATGTATCCTCATTTTTATTGGAAAACATTTTTCAGTATAAATGTCCATTCTCTAATTATAAACCTTTTTCATATCATATCTTCTCATTTAATATTATAGTTTATGAATTTTTAAAGTGTAGTTATATAAAGCATATTGCTCATCCAAAGAACCATAAAGCCTTTCTCTTCTGACAGTGAATGTTAGACATGGCAATAAGGGACACTGTTTTCCTCCCTTCTCTTCACCAAGTGAATCTCCAAAGCTTCTTACTGTCAACCTTTGGCAAATCTTGGAGATTTTCTGCAGAGGCTGTGGCATCCTGCAGGGCTGATAAAAAATGAAAGTGGCTGAATCAATTACACTGCACTCTGCCAATGAATATTTATTAAATTCCATCAAGGAACAACTAACAGTGAAAAGACATCATGCTGGCAGCAATTTCAACAAGAGTGCCTTGACAGAGCGTACTATCCGTACAGTTCCTCGAGAATCTGATTTCCCAACAGTGGGGTTGATATGGAGCAATTATGAAACTGGCTTCTTTTGTGGAGTAGCAGAAATTGGTGCCAGGAGTGTTGAGAATCTAAAAATGCAATTAGCCACATTGTAAATCAGACACTTAAGAGAACAGGATTAGACACGTATGTGTTGAGTTTACTTGTTCGAGCAACAATGTTGATCTGTGGCTGTAGAGTTGAGAGTTCTTGAAAGAATTTAAGAAATGCCAAATCACTTTCTGAGAATTGTATAGAGATGCCAATGATTTAAGTACAATTTTAAAATAATCCTTATACAAAAATCTGGGGAAGCAGTGACGATGTCAGAATATAAACCGCTCAGGGAACCGTATGAACTGCCTTTATATCTCTGTATAACAACATTTATGAGGCTGTTTAGGTTAGAAGGAAAAAACAAAAAAATAACCAAAGACCTTCTAGGTTTGCACACATTTGACTATTCTGTCATCAGTGAGATCATTTATAAATTACAAAGGCTTGCCTACAGTAGAAAATTACGTGCAGTAAGATGGAAACTGATGTTAAATAACTGTATATTAAATGAAAGTTTTGATTTCTCCTGTTTCAAAGCAAATTAGATATTGCCTCACAAAAACAAGGCTTTGTCAATTCCCACCCTTACACTGAGTATAACTACTTCAGGAAAGCTATAGTATAGGGGACTTTCTCCTCCTCTTCTGAGGTTTATTTAAGCCCAGACTATGTGACAGAGCCATGATACCATAAACTCACGCAGTTGTACACGCACATGGTCCCTGAGATTAGATGCACATTTGTAGCACCCAAGGGAACTTCAGGGAGTAAGTCCAAACCATTACTTTTTGCCTGACCTTTAATATCTATTCAAGCAGTTTTCCAAAGTAGCTTTGGGATACCTTTTTGGCCTGGACACACCACTGAACAGTAAAGGCTTAGGTACAGATTTGCAGAAGTGCACAGGTCTGCGCATTTCTTCACATAACTAGTAATGCTGGAATGGGCCGTTTCGTTCTTGACCCGTTAGAGGGCTGTTGAATCCTGGGTTTGGACAGTCTCCTTTCTAAACCTCTGTGTCAGCAGTTAAGTCCACAAGAGAGATGAAATTTCAAAATAGTCCTCTTCTGTGATTTTTTTTTTTTTTTGACACCTACCTTAGATGTTTCCCTATTAATTCCTGCGGCCACTGAATTTCAGTGACACTGAGCCCCGGTGCTTGCTGTCCTGGGATCTGGAGTGCTCAGACAGACACCATGGCTTGCATTAAGACCTCGCTTTTGGGCAGACTTTAGCAGAGCAGCACCAAAAAGCTTTTGTGAATGTGAGTGTGCTTACCAGCAAGTTCCTAAGCACCTCAGAACAAGCCGTAGGTACAGCTGGATCGGTCAGGGTTCGGTATGTGGCTGCTTTAGGTATTCACAGCATCTAACTCTGGGCATTTATCTAGAAGTCTTGTAGTCATAAAGGAGGAGAATTAGGGGAGTCTCCCAAGTCCTTTTACTTTTGTGCTCTGAATTATGCAAAAGCTAGGTTCCTGAGGCAGATGGGAAATAGAGTTGTTCCCGTTTTCCCAAGATAACTTTGCAGGTGCAAGAGGAGGTTGAATGTTGGCACAGCTATGAGTCATTGCTAGGTGCAATTCTCTGCATGCAGAAGAAAGGACAAGTTCATGTTTGCTCTACCACTTGAGACTGAACTAGAATAAAAAAAAAAAAAAAGTCACAGCATGGGAATGTATGAGGAGAAATTAAATGATGTAAGAGGGATGAGCAATAGTGGAGTCTCTATCTCTTGGCACTGGAAGACTTAACATAATGACCATGTAGTTCCATTTTTATGTAATATAGGACAAAAGTCTTCTTGGATGCCAGCGTGATCTCTGCTGTGTGATACTGATTTTTACCTGCCTGCTTATAAGACCCAAAAAGGTTCAACAGGAGAGGAGATCTTTAAGTTTGATAATCTGATGTTTACAGATCACAAATCTTCTCTGTTACCACAGTTTCCCCCAGGAGATGTAACTGGAAACTCCAGGTCCTCGCTTCAGACAAACACTATTGTTACACGTTAACTCTCTGTGTTAGACAACACTTCAAATGTGAAAAGCCTCTGAGGGCAAGGATTGCCCTCCTCTTAATCAGCTCTTAGTGTCCTTACAAAAGAATACAGCTAACTAGTATTGTTTAGAGCTGTTGCAAAGCATATCAAAATACACTAAAGCTCAACTTCAGTGCAGTTCAGCTGCCTGGGTATGCCAATCCATGGAAACCATCGTGCAGAGACCCTCTCTGGAGAATGTGAGGGGAGACGCGGCCTGCATGCTGCAATTACTGCTCAAGCCTGTTCTGTGTTTGGAGGCAATCAGGATAATTGCCATCAAAGTACTTTTTTGTTCAATGATGGAATATGTTGAGTATCAGTTAATAGGGGTAGATATAAAAATTTTCTGTTTTTTAAAATGTTTAACTACTCTAGCAGATTTGACTGGAGATCTCTGGTTGCTGGTAATGACTGGAAAACCATGTAGTGTTTGGTAAATGCCAAAGACTAGGAAAGTGTTAACTGCTCTGCATTTTGTCTTCAGTGTTTCCGTCATTCTTGGGTAAAACAAGAGGAAAGGTTGATAAAAGATAGGGAAAAAAAGTAGTAGACAACCAGCTGCCCTCAGTATTGTGGAATGATAGGACAGAAGGAGCTAGTGTGGTCTCTGGACGTATAAAACATGACTCAAGGTAAGCAGGCAGAGAGAGAGGAAGTTTCTTACAAGTTTTTGAGACATATTTCATGTATCAGTAATGATCTAAACTTTTTCAGAGTGTGAGCGGCACATCCAGTTAAATCAGAAGTTTCTGGAGTTACCAGTCAGGAATAAAAGTTGAAAGAGTTCCTGCACTCCATTACAAGTATTAGTTTTTAGCTACTGTGGACTAGCTATATACAGACTTTGTATTAAAAATCAAAGCATATTCAGTAACTCTCTTCAAGTCAGGTCAGTTCCCATTCTTCCAGGTATTATGAGTCTTCAAAAGGGCAGGAATGAAAAGTCACATCAATGAAGGGAACTGTGACAATACCTGCAGTTCCTGGCTGCAGGAGGCAGTGACTCTGTGCATCAGATGCCCCAGTGAAGGTTGCTACATTCTGTACAAAACAAAAAATGAGCGTTCATAATTTTTTTTCTGGTGTTTTAGATGTAAAGTGGCTGTAGCCTTCACCCAGCAGCAAAATAAGACCTTAGCAGTAAATAATTTAGGAATTATTTAGGGCTAAGCTTTATGACGTGATTACTTGACGAATGTTGCCAACCCCCAGGCTCATGTAGGAGGCTTATTTGGAAAGTCTCAGAAGACCAAACTACACCCTTCACTCGGGAACATTCACAAAGGAGGACACCTGCTGAGCAGGTTTATAGTGCACAATGAAGGAAATAATCCATTACTTGTTGTTAGCAGATTTGATCAGAAGGGCTGCCTTGCACTCCCGTTAAAACTTTGAGGGCCACCTTATAACTGCCCTGCAGCAAACCCCCTTCTCCAAGGCTGTCTCCCCACAAAGAGTGCCAAGTCACAGCTGGGAGCAACACATGAAATCCCTTTATTTCATAGGGAGTTACTGGTATTGATCTCAGCACAGGCCAGAGTTTATTTTCCCAATTATTTTCTCTGCTTAAATTGGAGAAAGTTTTCATAAGAGCTGTTCAGAGTTCTTAAATAAGGATGAATGCATTTTCTGTATTTCCCAAAACCTGCAGTGATGCTGATCTGTATTCTGGTTTGCTCTGTTTGGAGGACTGGAAGTATGGTGAAACATAATGGAGATGATATAGCATACCTGATGCTAAATGGTCGTCTTTCTAAATAGACCTACTTTACTTATGGTGTATGGTCTAGAATAACCTCTCCTGGGTATCCTTGCCACTGTGCGTCGTGAATTGCATTTTCTGGGAAAAGTGTTTATACTGCATTCACATGTGTATGTTCTTCATAAGCAGCTTTTTTGTCTGTATTGACAGGTCTCACCAACTCATAATCGTCCTGCAGGGAGTGGAGAGCAGAAACAGTCCCACACAGTTCTTTCATCACCGCCTAGAGTAGCGTTTGGCTTGAGGTATGGGACCATTAGCTCCTGCCAACAGACCAGCAGCCCCAGAACCTGGAGGGCATCAAGTAAATAAGATGTCAGTGGCCAAAGAAACAGTAAAACCACACCACCAACTGTGATTGCAGTTGTCAGGCAGTTTCTTAGTAGAATGCTTCAGAATAGGCATTCTGGACCTGGTTTGCTTTTCATTGCCATCAAAGGTAAAGTTCAGGAGCAGAAGTGAGTAGTTGTGAAATGAAGAAGGCAGACTGTGAGGCAAAACTGCAGGCCTTGTGCCAGGCATGTCTGGAGTTCAGATGCAGATCTAAACTGCCCTGTAAAGCAACACTGCCCGGCTTCACTGCTCCAGCTGAAGCACCCTGAACTGCGTTACGTGGCTTTGCTGTCTTCCCTGAAAGGGTGGGCTGTCTTGTGTGTTCATCAACAGTCAGTCAGTATGACATTTAGCTTCAGGCGAATTACAAGAAACCATATCTTATAATAAACTAGATCAAAGCAAAGCTTTTTATACCTTGTCTTCCTAGACATAAGCTGCATTCGCTTCCATTAAAGCTAACTGATGTTTGACTGGAGTCTGCTTTAAAAATGTTCAGAAACTTAGGTTAAAAAATCAAACTGTGACACTAAATTTCTTATAGTAAGGAAACTCCTTATTTCTCACAGTCTTCACAAACTGTGAAGTTACAGTCTCACAGACTGTCCCCTAAAATGAGACAAAAGGAAGATTTCATGCTTTTCATTTTCCTCATGACTCCCAGTTCATTGCATACGCTACAAACCAAATTTAGGATCGTCCCAATTCTTGGATGGTGCCCAGGAACGAATGTTGAGTAATCAAAAAGCATATAGGTATGCAAGAGAGGAACCACCACACAATTGCCATGTGTGCCGTGCAGCGTGTAGTACAGGTATTAAACAGGTCTGTCTGTACTGTTACTTGGTGTAGAGATGCCCGGACAGATGGCACTGCTGTAGCGCGCGCTGGGTTACTACTTGCAGCGTTGCTCCTCAGCTTTGCTGGCTGGAGCAGAGGAGCAGGCTCAGCAGCAGCCAGGCGAGGAGAAGGGCTGGTCCCTCGGAGCTGTGGAGTCACAGCCCCGTGTCCTTCTGCTTCGTCAGATCCCACTTGGCTCGAAAACTTGAAACGCTGGGGGTTCCCTGCCTGCTGCTCCCCTTTGAGACTGTTGCCCTGGTCTTAGAGTGGTTAGAGATGAAGCAAAGCTACGAAAGCGTCTCATTAACAAGCTTCCCTTCCTCTCTGACAGGAAGCCTCGAGGGGAGGGGAAAAAGTGTCGGAAGGTCTATGGGATGGAGAACAGAGATATGTGGTGTACTGCCTGCCGATGGAAGAAGGCCTGCCAAAGGTTCATCGACTAAAGATTGAAATTATGCAGAGGATTTGGGGATGGGGGAAGGCAACAGCAGAACCAGATTGCTGCAGCTGCACTGTATCACTTCCCATTTTCCCTCCAGTGATGTGGTGTTGGGGGTTTTGGTTTTCTGGGGTGTTTTTGTTTTTTTAAAAGAGCTTTGTATTTCAAAGTGAAGCACTTGTAGCCAAGGAGAAGCACTAATCAAAACCTGTGTGGAGCAATATAGAAAAAAAAAAAAAAAAAAAAAAAAGCAAAATCAAGAACATACAACAAAATACTGTCTTATTAAGTATGGAAACCAGAGCAGCTATTAGTGTTTTTCTGTAAAAGAAAGGAAAAAGTTAATTTTTTTGCTAACTGTGAGCTACTTGCTCCTTAGGATCACTTTTAACCATTTCAGTCTCTGTGCTGTGAACGTCTGTTTTTGCTAAACTGAACAATTTTTCTTTTCCTGAAACGAAGATTCTTTTTTGAAAGCTTTCTAATAAACACTTCAGAGTTGTATAAGCTACAGTTTTCTCAACAAAAGCTGTACTAAGACTGGAGACTGCTAAGTAATTCTCCTGATACGGATGATCATGATTATATTATATTTTTGGAAAGGGGATGTGGGGAGGAGTTGGGATTTTCGTTTGTTTGTTTATAGGAGAAAAGCAAAATCTGAATTGGCAAGAAGGACAAGCAGTGCTCCTGGAAGGTTTCTGAACCGGGCACAGACCAGTGGAGTGGAACAAAGTAATTTAAGTACCAAATTGGATTTTGATCCTCTAGAGGAAGAAAAGCAGCAGTGGAAAGTCACCAGCAGATATTGTCACAACAAGACGTTGAGGGAAGAAATCCAGTGATGCCTGATTGAAACCCATAAGAATACGATGGGGGTCCGGCAGCTTTTCTTGCCGCTCTCCCGTTTCTGAGGGAGGATGAACAGTTGGACCGGCACGTCTGTTGCTGCAAGAGGCCTATAAAGAACTGGTAAATGCAGCCACTAGGATTATATGTAATACATATTCAGGGACACGATCCAGCCCAGCAGTTCTGCTCTTGCTTCTTTTTCTCTTATTTGAGAGATTGTTGTTAAGACGATGGTTTGCTTAGATTTTTTTTTTTTTTCCCCCTATTAAAGTTGCTAAGATTTATTTGGCATGAAACATTGGGAGAGAAAATACCCCCTTTCCACAACATCATCTCAGAAAAAGAAGTACAGTAGCAAAGGAGCAACATATTCATGGTAAAAGTCCATTTCTTAACTCATTTGGATATATGAATTAAGTTTCTTTACTTTGGATAGATTTGGGTACTTTAGTTTCTCTGTCCATTAGAAAGTATACACCAGAATGTGGCAAGCTGGTGTTCTGTCTCCACTTGTATCTAATTACCATTAATTAACAATAATTTCAGTGCAAAAATAAAGCATTTACTAGGATATGAATGTATACAGTTAAACAATACTTGCCTGTTAAAGAAAACAAGACACCTTGAAAAAAATCAAAGACACAGAAGCAAATGTTTGCCTATTAATAGAGGCATGGAGGCCCACAGATTTCTGGAATTTATTTTTTTTTTCATACCGTCTGAATGAAATCAGATCTTTTTTCTTTTTTTATAAATTGTCTAACTTGGCTCGTTCTCACTGAAATAAGAGGAGGCCACGTATCTAAACAGCTTTCTAAAATCTGGTCCAAAGTTTACTTGATAGCTTTATTAAGCGTGCATCGCTGCTTATGCCTACATAAAAACGCAAAATAACAATGCAGTTGGTTAGAATACACACTATGGATTCGGTAAAGTAGTACTGAGAAGTAAAATTTATAATAGGAGCTACTGAAGGTTATTATCTGATTTTCTTTGAACAAGTTAATTGGGCAATCAGACGCCTAATTTGAGCATGCTATTTCTGCAGTTGTTTACAAATTGTGTAATTTACATGCACAAGTGGCAAGATATGCTTGCATGCATGCAATTAATTGATTTTTTGCCCGGTTGTGTTCTCTAAATCATTTAAAAAAAAAAAAAAAAAAGAGTCTGAAATCTAGTAAGACCCTGAAATATATACACAGATGTGTGTGTATGAGTTTTTAGATACAAAATCTGGGATCAACAGGGAGGAGAAAGATTGTTTTCTTCATAAATATAAAAACCAAGACCCTGAAGGTCAATGGGTATACATAGCTAGCCACTGTATTATCTTCTTTCCTCTTAGTAAAATGTGGGTCATAGGTTTTCTCTGGATGTTGTATTTTTTCATTTTCCATAGTAAAATACCTGATAGTAATTCATAGTCATTTCATCTTCAAACACTGAGCTTGCTGATGGTGTATTTACTTTGGTAGAACTTAGAAAATTTGGGACTTTTCCAAGATACTCCTGCCAATTTCCCCACCCCCATTTTTACAAGCACTTCAAGACTAATTATAAACCATTCCATAATTAATTTGACTATTGTTAGACTGACAGTATTTGCCTATCTATTTCTTGTTCCCCTCCTTTTATATTTTCCCTTTTTGCTCTGGAGGATTTTTTGGAAAATAATGTATCAGATTGTATATTGTTTCTATAATGTCATGGCATTGTGAGCACCTTTCCCGAGGGCACTTTATGCATTATTGTAATAAGATTATTCTTTATAAATTTCTGCACAGAAGAATGGTTTTGTCGCCAGACCGGATTGCCCTCTGGTACAAATTTGACATGGCACAAAACCCACAAATCACCAAAACAGGATAGAAAATCGGTTGTTAACAAAACAGAGGACAGAAGATACTTGATACATCCTGCCAGGACAGACCTAAATTGCCAGTATTTTTACACAACCTTTAACCAGCAGTTTCTATTAAATCAGTTTTGCATCTTACGGCTGTGGCATTTTGATTGAAAGGTAGGCACTCCTCGAGTTACCATGTCTCAGCCGTGGCCGGTGCGAGCGAGAGGGCAGGGCCGTCCGGCCCGGCGTGCAGCGTTCCCCCCGCGCTTTGTGCTTTGGGCTCGGGTCACTTCGTGTCGCACGAGCGCTTCGGCGCCCGCCGAGACCCCCTCCGCCCCCCTGGCACCCCCGGCAAGAACAGAAACGCCAGCAAAGCCTCTCCTGTTGCTGGCAGTAACGAGCGTCACCTGGGACAACCTCTTCCATTTGTCAGTCTCCTGCTCCTGTCTTGCTTTAAGCTGTTGTCACTGTCCTCCCAGCATCTGAGTCATCTCGCGCTTCTGCACCGGCCTCTCCACAAGAGGCGGATTTCTGTGTTTTCCCAAGGAAGGGCTAGCCTGAGTGCTGTGGTCATTTATCATCGTCCGTACACGCCATTTCCCCCAATTTCGGTTTCTCTGCGCGTGGTAGGTCATTGTGTCTGACCTCCTGGAGAAGGCAGAAAGAATGGCCTGAACACATCACGCGGTCTCTGAGTGCTACAGGGAGTTGGACGTGGCTTCATTTATGTTAAGAGCCAGAACTTCCCCCTGAGATATAAAAATGGAAGGATCTATTTTATTTGATTTAACCACTTACTGGTACTGATGCTGGTAACAGAAATTGCCAACATCAGTATCAGAGTGGAGATCAACTGTACAGATCCCAAATATTTTTCATCAGGAGCTTTCTTGCTATAACAAGGCTATTTCCCACTTCCTCATTTACCCCATCCCCCAAAAGATCTGGAAAAGGAGATAATTTTAGAAGTGGGAAATTTTAATGGCAGTTTTTAAAATGTGACTGTGCTCCAGCTGTTCCTCTGCGAAGCTATTGGCCGTTACAAACTCAGATCATCTTAGTCATAAAATGGTTTCCACCCAAAACAATGTGCCTGATTCTCTAGTGCCTTGCACAAACGTAACGGGGTACACAAGATGCCAAATGAGCAAAAAAACCCTCTTCCATTCCAATTTGCAGGTTTACACTTACTTTTAACCGATACCACTTGTCACCTAGCAGGTATCTGTTGTGATGAAAGCCAGACCTGCAAGCTCTGCTGCTTGTGTGAATAAGCTGAGCAGAATGCCTGTCTGTTGAATTGCTTTTTACAAATCATCGGCCTGGTATGAACGTTAGCTGCCTAATGATCTGCAGATTCCTTGCACCCGTTCGCTATCACCAGCATCACTTCCCTCCTTCCTTCTACCCTTCATTTTTTTTCAGATAATGACTAGGTAGGCAGCACAACAGGAGGCAGAGCTTTAGCCAAAAGCTTTTGTAGAACCTGCATGTAAGAATCGATTCCAGCTCCATGCAATATCCCAGATGTCCTTTTCACTGATTTTCTGTTTTTTCATTGGTTCTGATCCAGTGAGTCAGGATGGTTTTCTATTTCTTGCTGTGGTCTGGGACCAGCTAGAGTCGCCCTGCTGAGAATTCAGGACAATCACTGTAAGTGTGGCAATAGAACGCGATTTCTTTCTTCCACTGCCTTTAAATATGTTGGAACACCATCTCAGAAACAGGACATGAAATCAGAAGCTTGCTATCCATGTGCAGAGGCATAAGGGGTTGCTTGCCAGTGAGGCTTGTTTCTGTTGGTTTGAGCTTCAGTCATCTGTTGGAGAAAGTTGTGCTGCTCCTTTTCTTAGAAAGAGTTTGATAAGGAAACGTTTGAAAAGTCTCATCTTGGTCTTAGATTTACACTTTATTCCATCCTCCTGTAAGGTGGTAGCACTGGAACTGAGACTTCTTCTGTAGAGTGTGGAATTTAATCTGCATTTGTCAGGATTTTTCTGGTAGATAACTGTGGGCTGATGCAAAGCATCATAGCAAAGATGTTCTGGTACGAGTTCAGGAGCGTTTTGCGGCATCTTTAGCAAAACAGCTAGACAGTAAGTCATGAGCAAAAATGAATCAAGCTGAGTCTTTAAATGCATTCTGTATGTGGTAGACTCAAGCAGCCCTTGTCTGCATCTACATGGAGCTTGGAAATCTTCAAGACTGAAAAAATGCCAACATACACCTATGGGTGATAGTGCCCACTTGAACTGTTTTTTTCATATTAGACTACAGTGCTTTCACATTGACCGTGCTCTCGCTTTTATGCAAATGCAAGATTAAAGAAGATGCTTATCTTCCCCTTGCAATTTTATGGGTTTATTCCTCAATACAAAAAACACTAATCATGTTATTTTTGCTTTACACAGACCATTTTTAATAGCAATCCAGAAAGAACCGGAAAACAGAAATCGGTCTGTTTCTGATGGCACTAAGCAAAATAAGACACGGTTTGCTAGTATGCTTGCTCATACTCACGGCAAGAATTTGTCTGGTCAGTCAGCTGATGAAATGTAAGGGAATGGATAAATTCATAACAAGCCAGTGTTCTGCTTTTTTTTAACACATCTTAACACCAAGAATTTTTTTTCCTTCTGTGTTTGAGTCTGAATGTGAAATCTCTAATATACCCTTGAGGGAAATTAATTTAGCAATAGTAATGCTGTTCCAGCCTTCCTGTTACTTGGACATATACAAAATGTTACACTAACGAGGTAGGATTTCAAGATTAAATCTGAATTCTTGATGTAATTCAGTGCTAAAGATGGACTCAGATATTTTAAAATGCGTGAATGTTAGTGTTTGCCATTTGCCAATCCTCTTGAAAAATTCAGGTTTGACTTTGGAGTCTTTATCTTAGTATACTGCACCCTGCAGCGCTTCATATATGATGTGTAATGGTCAGACAAACAAAAGTTACTAAATTGTTTGTAAAAAACTGCCTTGGGAAGACAGGGAAAAAAAAGGTAATACAAATTTCCTCAGGGAACATAAGAGGGCTGTAAAGGCAGGATGTAGGTTTATCTGAATGGAAGATGGCTGAGCAATTGATTTATTTTTTCTATTCTAGGCAAAATTTAAAGACCAATATGTCACTACTTGAATTATTAAAATTAGAAGGAAGCACTGGTTAATGAACATGGTCTTACTTAATGCTATAGCTTAGGAAGTTCCAAACAGAAAAAGTAAAACATGTTAGATGACACAAAAATATAGAAAATGAGCTTGAACCATAACCTAATTATAATATAAATCTATATTTTGTATCAATTTTTTCAGGATCTACTGTAAATAGAAAGGCTTCTTGTTTATATAGTTGCTTGGTCAAAGCATCCTTTGTCTATAATTGGATTACTTCTTACCAAATTACTTCAGGAAGCAAAAAAAAATAATAATTAGCATGGTATCCTGGAGGTGTTGAGTCCTCCACTTTGCAAAGTGCTAATTCTACATGAAATTAAAAGAAAACATGCCATCACTTTTTTTTTTTTTTTTTCAGATTTGCAATGCTTTCAGCTTCAGTAAACCGAAGGTTTCACTGAACCATGTTAACTGCTGTTTTGAAGGAATACATATGCAAATTCTCAAATTTTTCTTTATTTGTACACAAATAAATTATTTTTGGTCCATAATATTTTTTCCTATTAACCTTTCTTCCTGTGTCCAGGGACTCCATTCTGCAAACTCCCAAATATTTATACTGAAGTGAATAAAAATCAGAATCATCAGTATGAGGACTGAAAAATTTAAATAGCACCTGGCATCAGAATTTTCAGTATCGATACTTAACTCTAGTAATTGATTCTTACAGTCATGCCATCAAATCTTTCAGGAAAGGGGTGCACGTAATCTGTAAATTAGCAGGTATGGCTGCACAAAGGTAGAACTACTGTATTCCAACAATAAAATGTAGGCTTAGATTCATCAGAGCACTCAAGTGCGTGTTTAACTTCACTTGTGGAGTTTGTTGGTGGGACTATCCGTGTTTCTAAAGTCAGGCACACATTTTTATGCTCTTCTAAAATCAGGCCTTGGCAAGAGCAAATACTCTTACAGCTTTGTTTGAAATATGCACTTTGTGAGACAATCTATTTTTTCTGATTTTATGCAATTTATCTAGTATTTAGAAGACCAGACACATTTAGAGAATTCTTTTTTTAAATTATTTTTTGCATTGCAAAAAGAAAGTGAGAAAGACGACAAGTTTAGCTGTATATTTTAGCATGTGAAAGCATTGCTTAGGTTTGTAAGAGATGTCTATTTGCCATCAAGTTCAAAGGAACGTATTTGGGTACATCAGAAAAAAAATGCATGTCAAGCAGATCACATTATATAAATTTATATAGTTCCATCTGTATTCGCTGTATGCTCAACACTCCTCCAGGCAAGGAGGCACAGGATCTCTGAGTATGCGAGGAAATAAATACGTTTACCTAAAAAAACTTTAGGAATATTGTGCTTTTGAGCCACAAATGATGTTATCTATGTGTAATTTTTAGTGTTAAAATAGACAGTAGCCTTATTAACAAGGTGCAATACTTACAAAGGGCTAAATTACGGAAACGTGGTGTGTGTCTGTACATCACTGCAAAATGTGCACTCTTTTAAAACTGACTTTATAGCACTGGGATCTTATTACCTCGCTGAAATTAGAAAGCTGGTATAATTTTATAACCATTTATTATACATTGTGAGACAGGATTTGGGATTTCTGAAAAACCAAAAGGAGGAGAGGGCGGAATTGTAAATCCCGTGGAATAGTGGTATGTTGTTTTACATGGCAGAAGTAACCTAGAACACCTTTACAAAGCTGCACAAATTCTGGATTACTGAAAGAAAAAAATATATTGCCCTTGGTGGCAGAGATAATTCAGTCTAAAATTTCCTGTGATGTCATGAAAATACCTGCTTCAGTGTTCAGTGTTTGGTTTGTCTCTTGCATTTTATTATTGGGTTTTATTTGTTTGTATTCCAATTGTGAGGACATTCCTACATGACCAGTACTTGGCTTGAAATTGTATTCTTTTGAAAATAACTTTCAAAATTGAGAGATTTCTTCATCAATCTGTACAGGCTGATTGAGATCATACAACATGATCTGCTCCAGC